TCACCCTGTTAGCCAGGATGGTCTTGATCTCAAGACCTCGTTATCTGCCCACCTCAGCCTCCCAAAGTGCTGGGATTACAGTGTGAGCCACTGCGCCCCGCCTGTATCTTATTTTCTTTTAATGTAATTTCAGTGGTATTCCTAAGATTGTCTTAATACTTCATGAGTTCAAGCCACAGCAAACTGGATCTGTCAATTAGCATACAAAAACAAAAAGAATTGCAAAAACTTTAGGATTGCATCATTTTAGATAGCTATTAACTGGTATTCAACGCAAAAGTAATTCCTCTTAAAAATTATCTTTGGACAGGCATGGTGGTTTACGCCTGTAATCCTAGCACTTTGGGAGGCCGAAGCAGGGGGGATCACGTGAGGTCAGGAGTTCGAGACCAGCCTAGCCAACATAGTGAAACCCCTCTCTACTAAAGATACAAAAAAATTAGCTGGGCATGGTGGCGGGCACCTGTAATCCCAGCTACTAAGGAGGCTGAGGAGCTACTAAGGAGGCTGAGGAAGGAGAAACTCTTGAATCTGGGAGGCAAAGCGTACAGTGAGCCAAGATTGCACCATTGCACTCCAGTCTGGGCGACAAGACCAAAACACCATCTCAAAAAAGACAAAAAAAGTATCTTTACGCCAGCTTTTGACAGGCAAAGCATGTGAACTCACAGAGCCGCATGGAATGTGAGGTTACTCAGTAAGACCAGACCTAAGTGTTCTCCATCTTCACAGGTGGCCAGTAACAAATCTAAGCTCAATTTAGATGCTAAGAAATGCCCAAACATATCTGTAGCTAAACTCCTTGAGACAAGCCACTTTTGTTTGAGATGGAGTCTCACTCTGTCATCCAGGCTGGGGTGCAGTGGCACCATGTCAGCTCACTGCAACCTCCGCCTCCCGGGTTCAAGTGATTCTCCTGCCTCAGCCTCTCGAGTAACTGAGATTACAGGCACATGCCACGAGATCCGGCTAATTTCTTCTATTTTTAGTAGAGACAAGGTTTCACCGTGTTAGCCAGGATGGTCTGGAACTCCTGACATAGTGATCCACGCACCTCGGCCTTCCAAAGTGCTGGATTACAGACTTGAGCCACCACACCTGGTGGAGGCAAACCACTCTTTAAACCATAAAACGAATCTGCATGCTGCCCCTAAATAGTATTTTGAGCAGGGCACTTAAAACATACAAAATTGCCTGACATATAACAGCATTCAATGAATGAATGAACGAATGAATGAATGAATAGTAGGCCACTAACTCAGTCTCTCCCCTTCAGCAACTAAAGTGAAGTTTTATTTAAGATTCTGAAGGGGGGGGACCAGGCATGGTGGCTTCGCTTGTAATCCCAGCACTCTGGGAAACCGAGGTGAGCAGATCACTTGAGGTCAGCAGTGAGACCAGTCTGGCCAACGTGGTGAAACCCTGTGTCCACCAAATATACTAAAAAATGAGCTGGGTGTGGTGGTGCACACCTGTAATCCCAGCTACTAAGGAGACTGAGGCAGGAGAATTGCTTGAACCCGGGAGGCAGAAGTTGCAGTGAGCCGTATGTGCCACTGCACTCGGCAACGAAGCCTGGGCAATGGAGCGAGACTCCGTCTCAAAAAAATAAAAATAATAAAATAAAAAAGATTTTGATGGGGCCAGGTACAGTGGCTCATGCCTGTAATCCAAGCACTTTGGGGGTCGGAGGCCAGAGGATCATTTAAGGCCAGTACCTGCCTGGTAACATGGTGAGACCCCAGCCTCTCTACAAAAAAAATTAAAAAATTAGCCGCTGTAGTGGTACACACCTGTAGTCCCAGCTACTCCGGAGCTGAAGTGGGAGGAATGCTTGAGCCCAGGAGTTCAAGCTGTAGTGAACTATGATCACGTTCACTGCACTCCAGCTTGAGCAACAGAGCAGGTCCCTGTCTCAAAAATTAAAAAATAACATAAATATCCTAAAGACAATTATATGAAATATAGTTGGAACGGAAAAAGCAGAAGTCAGAAAAAAAAAAGTAAAGTCGTCTCCAATCCGAAAAATTTTGGAAACAACGTCTTTAAAAGATGAGAGAAAATGTTCCTTTGCTTGCAAAATTAATGTCCTACTAAAGTCACCAGATAGTAGGAGATTCTGCTATCTTTTATGCAACCATGATAGCTTTCCCCAGGCTTATGAAAATGAATTATGATTGCTAGAAAATATGATGGAAAATAGAATCCCTCTGTACTGTCAGCTCATAGACTTATCAGCAAGTGCTAAGTCAATTTTTGCTAGGGCACCTCTGGGTTTGACAGCTCTCTGGAACCTCCTGGCTGACTCTTTAGAAGCCATATTCTATATCTAATTCTGGTTGTCTGGAGAATATGAAATACTTAACTCAACACAAAATGCTAATAACCAGCTTTCAAAGGTCAAAGGGGACCAGTTTTTAACCTTCCCTAACACGTGTTCAGTACAAACTTCCGGGTGCACTTACAATTGGCTGCGCAATTCAACGGATAAAAACGTTGCTTTATTTGTCTCTCATTTTCTCGCCCGTTCTTTTCCCACGTTTCTCAATCAGCGACTCCCCAAAACAAAAGCCTCCCACAGTAAACCGAGCACGCACATAAAAAGAGCTTCTGTGCGAGGATCAAGTTAGTGGTCCGCAAACATTAACCAAATAGAAGCACAAAGCAGGGGTGGGAAGGGGAGGAGCTGGATGCCAGGGTCAGGAAAGAAACAGTCACAAGGGTTTAGGAACATCCAAATCTCCTCAGCGTTATTAAACCGACCCCAAACCACTTCTGGGAAACCACCAGCATACACTGCTTTGGGGAACTCTGGATGCTTGTTACGCCAAACGCCCTCAAAATAAGCAAATCTCTAACTGCCATTCCCCTCCGTATGTATTCTTAGGGTCTGGGAGGTGAACTCGCCTGCCGAGGCAGAACTACGCGAGTCGCCCGGAGAGGCGTGAAGGGAGCCTGCACGTGTCCCCCGCGGCTTCCCCACCGCCTCAAGAGTGGGGAGTGCACGAAACTGCCGATATGGGATTCAGGTTTAGGAAGGACGACCCAGTCGCTTGCCTCCCTCCCTCGCCCAGACCCAGGAGCAAAGCTGGGGCAAGAGAGAGGACTTAAGAAGGATCCGGATCTTACTTTCCCCGCGGGTCCGGGACCCGCAGCCCCGGGTTGTGAGGCGAAAGCCAACGGGGCGAACCCAGCGGAGCCGGCGTGCACGGACTCTGCCCCGCGGTCCAAAAGGGGGTGCGTCCGGCCCGGGACAGCGGGGCTCCAGGAGCCCGAAAGCCCCACGAGCGAAGACAGCAGGGCCCGGCTCTGACGGGCGGAGGAAGCGGGTGCAGCGGCGGCAGTGCCGTCGGTACCATGCCCCCGAGAGCGCGCGGCCGCGGGGGACAGGGAGCGGCAAGGGAGGCCCCAAGCCGGGGCGAGGTGGCTGCCCCCCCCAAGTCTGGCCCCACACGGCCCCCCTTGGAGGGTGGGAGTGGGAGGCTGTCCGGGAGGGGTAGCATGGAAGGAGAAAAGGGCCAAGGGAAGGACTTACTTTCCCCGCGGAACCCGGCGCCAGGACAGCTCCTCCCGGGAGGTGCGAGTTTGAAGAACCAGGGGCGACTGGAGCGGAGGCGGCGGTGGCGGCGGCAGCAGCAGCAGCGTCCGGCTCTGCCTACCTCCCCGCCGCCATCTTGACGCCCCTCCCCCAACCCCCCCGCCCGCCGGGAGGGGCGGGGGAGGGGCGACGGACGAGGCGCCGCGCCCTCACGTGACTTCCTCCCGCCTCCCCACCCGCTCCTCTGTGCCTCTCTCCGCCCTGCCTCCCTCCTAGGTGAAGGAAGATGACTTCCCCCCCATCTTGACCACCCCTCCCAGCCTTCGCCGCCAAAAACGGACTCCGCCGGCTTTCCTAGGCCCGGTACCAGTTGTTGGATCCAAGAGAATTCCGGAACCCAAACGGTCCATTACCGCGGCTCTGGGGTGGGCGAGGGGTGAGGGGGCCGGGTTTCCGAGAAGGGGGAGGGGGAAAGCGAAGGCCGCTTAGGAGAGTCACGTGATTACTGTTTCCGCCGGCTCCCAAGGAGAGCTCGCGGTAATTCCGTTTCCCCGCCCTTGTTTCCCCCGCGGGCTGTCGGGAAGAAGGTCCGCGTGCTGGGGCCGCCGGGAGGTCGGCCGGTGGTCCGCGCGCATGCGCCCCGCGCCTGCTTTCAAACTCCGGCTAGGAAGGGCCTGGAGCTATTTTCAGAACCTGTTAGGGTGGGGAGCTGCGGCCCAGGAAGTTAGCTAGCGGCGTTTTTGTCAGTTGGAAAATCTCGTCATCACCTAGTTAGTCCTAGAAACAAAATGTTTACATATTCATTTCTTGTTAAGCTTGCTCAAATCACTTTATTGGCAGTGAAACCGCTAGTAACCTGAAGCCCTTGGCGCGTCCACTGCCAGAATCTGAGCCTGAGGCTTGTGAGCTCGGCCATCCCACGCCTGTCTTCATGCTCACCCGCAAGCCCAGCACACCGGGGCTCCCAATTAATGAATACTTAACAGTAGGGCTGTCCCTACTGCTTCTCACTTCCTCGTTTTCATCTTTTAGTTATTATTAAGCGACCTAACACAAAAAACATATTACCTTGTTGGTAACCCTTTTGTAAAGTCATTCTGAAAGTGCAGTTTGACTCCGTTGCTTGGGTAATAAGCACGCCTGGGTGATTTTTGCCCCCTACTGGCAGCGCATCCCACAAGCTTCGTGCTGAAAGCAAACCAAGTACCTGGAACAGTTGGAGGTTGCAGTGTGAATTTTTCAAGAGACAAAGTATGGGGGGAAAGGGAGCAAAAAGCAGTCATAGAAAGAATGGGAAACTTTGGTGTATATATACATAAATAGGTATTATATATTTGTGTATACATTTACAAATATTTTAAGTGCTGACTAATTGCTTTACTAATCACATTATTTCATTTAATCCTCTCACAGAAAAAAACCTGTAAAGACAAAAATAATGAAAAATATCAGGCCGGGTGTGGTGGCGGGCGCCTGTAATCCCAGCTACTCGGAAGGCTGAAGCAGAAGAAACGCTTGAACCCAGGAGGCAGAGGTTGCACTGAGCCGAGATCATGCCATTGCACTGCAGCCTGGGCAACGAGAGCAAAACTCCCTCTCAGAGGAAAAAAAATATATATATATATTTTCTAGCCGGGTACAGTGGCTCACGCCTGTAATTCCAGCACTTTGGGAGACTGAGGTGGGTGGATCAGTTGAGGTCAGAAGTTTGAGTCCAGCCGGGCGCGGTGGCTCAAGCCTGTAATCCCAGCACTTTGGGAGGCCGAGGCGGGTGGATCACGAGGTCAAGAGATCGAGACCATCCTGGTCAACACAGTGAAACCCCGTCTCTACTGAAAATGCAAAACATTAGCTGGGCATGGTGGCGCGTGCCTGTAATCCCAGCTA